GAGGGAGGGATGGAAAAAGGGTGGGAGGAAGGAAGGAAGGAAGGAAGGGACAGAGGGAGGGAGGAAGGAAGGAAGGAATTGAAAATCAAAGTCAGGAGGCTGGGCAGGACCCACAAACTTGTGTGGTTGGCTGAGACTCAGTTACTTGTTACAAGAGTAATTTACAATATATTTATATGTCATATTAGGTTGCCATTTATTATGGCTAGGAAAACCTATAGTTATGTATAAAGGTAGCCATAAGCCAAATGTCACTCAGCATGTCTTAGCCTAGTCAACTTCCTTTGGACTTTCTTCAACTCTTTGCTCTCTGGGCATTCTTCTTTGGATCTTCTAAAAGGTGCTGAAGTCTTACATGGTAATCTGAGAAGTCACAACGGTCTTGTACCCATGGCCATTAGGCATCAAACCACCAGAGATCACAGTTCTCTGATGTACCAGGGCCTTCTATGCATTCTCCTGCTACTTTCTGGTCACACTGACTAATCTAGTCATAGGGTTTCTTTCATTTTATAGCCAAGCTGACCAGTCCCTTGAGGCATTGGCCTCTCATAAACTATTATACCTGTACAGACGTGTTTACTTCGGCATTTTTCTAACCTTTGAGGTCAAAAAATTCCATACCATCTACCAAAGAGCAAGACATTAAGGCATTTATTATAATAATTACTATTGTTGTTGACAGAGGTCTCTACATTAATTATAAATTGGTTAGCCTATTATCTCAGGCTTCTTACTAATTAACTCATGTCTTACATTATCCCCAAATTCTTGTCTGTGTTAACCTTGTGGCTTAGTGCCTTTTATCAGTGAGGTATTCTCATCTTGCTTGTGTCCTCTGCATCTGGGTGATGACTGCTGACGGAGCCTTTCCTTTTCCCAGAATTCTCCTATTCTGGTTGCCCCGCCTATACTTTCTGTCTGGCTACTGGCCAATCAGTGTTTTATTAAACACATACAAGTGACAAATCTTTACAGGGTACAAGACCATTGTTCCACAGAATATTGTTATTATTGTTGTTTATTAAAATACTATTAAAATTTCTTCTCTCATGTAACATATCTTGACCAAAGTTTTTCCTCCCTCTACTCCTCCCAGCTCCCTGCTACCTCTCATTTACCCCAGTTCCATTCCTTCTCCATCTCCCATGAGAAAAGAGCAGGCCTCCAAGAGGCAACAATCAAACACAACCAAACAGAATACATTCAGACAAGGTAAAAGCCCTTGCACTGAAGCAGGCCAAGGCAATTGAACAGGAGGAAAAGAGTCCCAACAGCAGGCAAAAGAGAGCGATATTTGCTCTCACTGTTAGGAGTTCCACAAAAAACAGCAAGTTAAAAGCCATAGCATATACACAGAGGACTTGGTTCAGATCCTTGCAGCCTGGTGCTCTGCTCCAGTCTCTGTGAGCCAATATGAGCTCTGCTTATTTGATTTAGTGGGCTGTGTTCTCCTAGTGTCCTCCATCCTTTCTGACTCCTTTCTTTCATCCCCCTCCTCTGCAGGACTCCCCAAGCTGAAGGAACCTGATAGAGACCTCCATTTTAGACCCTCTGTCTCTCTCTGCATAATGTCTGGCCATGAATCTCTGGATGAGCTCCCATCTGCTGCTGGAAGAAGCCTCTCTGGTGGTAAGTGGACAAGGCACTTACTTGTGAGTATAGCACAATACCATTAGGAATCACTTCATTAATTGTTTTTTAGATCAGTTGTGTTTGGTTCTAGCCTAGGTCTCTGGGATATCCAGTCTCTGTTCTTTGCAGCAATGTAAGGTATGGGCTCTCTCTGAAGGAGTAGACCCCTTAAAGCATTCTTTGCGTGATTACACCTAAGCAACCTCAAGTTGATGTTATTTTATTGTAGCTTTCTGATCCTTCCATTGCATTCTCCTCATAAACACGCCACCATCTCCTAAGAGCATGTTGAGTTTACAAATTTATTTTGGCAGCTTTGTCTCCTTGCATGAAGGAAGGTCAAAACACACAAAAGATGCTTCGAAGCATTTTGTGTTTGCGGAGACACTGACGTGAGGATTTTAACTATAAAATAATCGTGAATCATTAAAACCATTCTGCAGCTTTAAAATAAGAAGAGATGTTTGCAAGTGTAGCAATGAGATATTTACAACAAAAGGAAGAGCAAAAAGATAAAGCAGAACAAAAGTTGGCATCATTACCAAGGCGGCCAAAGTTCCACATGCGGGAGACTGCTCCCAAGTGTGAGTGGGTGGCCGGATGATGGAAAGGCTGAGAAAGAACACTCTGGAAGGGAAGCATCTCTTCATGAGGCCCTCAGGAGACACTAGTGTGGCTCTTCACAGGCAGATTTCCATTAAACGAGCAATTATTGTAAGAAAGCCTGACCCATCAGCCCCTCTGGCTTCCTGTCTCACTCCATATCTCTTCTGCACACACCCCCAGCATTGTTATGCGCTCAACCATGAGGCATTGACAGAGCCCAGCAAAACTCAGTGCCACGCTCTTGTACCTCAAGGCCCGTGAGTTACATAAACTTCTTGTCTTCAACATTGCCCAGCCTGTTTAAACAGAATAATGCCCTGACCTGATTCTTCACCACTTATTTTTGAAGAAGACATTAAATTAAAAGAGCTGAAAGCAGTGTAGTTTTAATTTATTTTGTACCTTGTCTCATACTTTTTGACTTCGGCTTTAGTTTTAAAGCGAGCATCTCTCACATACTAAGGTATTATAATGGAGACCACAATGAAAATATGAAGGAAACATGGGGAGAAGCAGACATCAACTGGGCTTATATTTTGACTTTACATCTGCTATATGTCTATTGTATCACTTTAAGGAAAATGGGGAATTTTCAGAGAGAGGCCAAGATTTTCAGAATTCTCACTCACTTGATGAATGTCACCCTGCTTGACAATAGTGAATTCCCAAATTTTTACTATATACTTGACATATATACTTACATGTGTAAAATATAAATATATATAATATGTACTTATATACAAGTATATGTAATACTCTTAAAAATTTAGCATAAACTATACTATATATGCACATACGTTTGTAAAGTTTGCATATACCTTATTATACTAATATTTTACTGATCACATAAAGCACACAAAAACAGATTTTTTTAAATGGTGAATCAAAACATTAAAAAGAAGAGTGCCGTCACATGACAGGAATCTCAGCATTCAGGAGACTGACACAGAATTACAAGTTCAAAGTCAGACCCTGTCTCTAAAATGCATATACATCTTAGAAGCTCGGTGCTTTAACGCAAAAGACTTTCCTTCTTGCTTTGCAAGTTTTCTTTGAATTCCTTGGAAATGTTAGAACAGACGACATATATCTCTGAAGTGTAATTTGCTACTTTAAAGCAATCAAGTTGAACCCACCACACCTGAATGGGTGGGTACATACTGTAGTTTTGTGTTGTGACGGAGTGCTTTCTCTTGACTAAACAGCAATGGTGGAGTTAAAGAGTCGTTGCTTGGAGGCAGAATAAAGTGAGCCAAGAGCAATCTGACCTTTGTAGGAAGCACTAGGCAATCACAATATTTAACATTAGTATTTTTCATAAGTATAGCAGATTGTTTCACAGCACTTCAGTCTTTCTTTTCGGCTTTTGCTGTTACTGTTTTTGTTGTGGTTTGCTTGTTTCTGTTTCTTTTCAGTGGAGGGGTTCTCATTATGTAATCCGGATACCCAGTCTTGTTGCAGTCCTACAACAGCCTCGAGTCTAGTCTGCTACCTGACAGTTTTGACCTTGGCGTGACAACTTCATCATCATCAGAAAGAACAACTTGCTAGCAAAGCTGAGAGAAAATGCCTTCCTTTGACTTCAGACAAGGGCTGATTGTCATCACTAGACCCGTGTCTGTTCTAGTCTTGCTCTCTTAGCTAACTCTCAGGCAACTTGACTACCACAGACAGCAGCTTAAATGGTTAAAATGAGTAAGAAGAGGACAGGAGCAGGGTTGCTTCAGAAATAGAAGATCTACCAGAGGATGTTTGTTCTCCAGAAGAAAAATAGCTCAGTAAAGCTTTTTATCCAGGGAACATTAGAATTCCTGACAGAGTAAACTTATCCAGTTTCTGCTTAGATATAAATTGTAAGGGGGGGGTCTTTAATGATATAATTTATTTCAAAGATACCTGAGGGGAAGACAGACAGGGGAGGGAAGAATAGAGAAGAAGGAGAGGAAACAGGAAGGGGGGTGAGGAAGGTTAGGAGGCCAGAAGGAAAAAGCAGGAAGTATGGGGGGAGGAGTAAAAGACAGAAAATTAAAGACAGAAAAAGACAAGACTTGGTGCTCTATTTCACTTTGCGTTTCTGAGATGACCTATTTCTTCAAGAAGAAAAACTCAACCCCGGTCTGTGCCAGTAGCAGCAAGCACGCTGTTGAAGGGACCTCTATCCTACTGTAGCCAGAACACAACTCACAAGGACTGGCATTAAGTAATCTTTTTAAAATTACTTGATTTTTTTTAAATTACTTCTCCTGGGCTTGACCCCCTAGAAAACTAACTTAGGCAAAGATGGATAGAGAGGATCCAGCCTTGGGGCAGCACTTAAAGCAGGCTGCTCTGGGCAGGCAGGCGTGGAGTCTCCAGTTAACACTCTGTGACTGGGACACAGCTGGCTTTGCATAAGGACATTAAATATACAGTACCACAGTTTGGTCCTGGGCCCGGCCTCCGGCGGGTGGCACCTGGCCATTTGTCTCCGCCAGCCAACGCCTGGCCCTGGTTTCCACGATACCGGGAAAGCCCCACAGTTCGCCTTCACACCTGTTAGGGGGTTCTCTACTCTCTCCACCAACCCATCGGCAGCCCCCCCCACAGCACTCTCCCGGGGCCCGCAGGGATAGCCAGGCCGGACTCGGCGGCACGCAGGGCCTTTCGGAGCCGACCCCTGTGCGCCCTGGCGCTGGAGGCTGGGCGGGGCGGGGTCCGTGGAAGGAGGGAGAGGTCGAGCCGGGTATGGGAAGGGCCGGGGGAAGGGCCGACTCCGCTCGCGTAACGCAGCCGGAGCCTGCGGCAGAGGCGGCGGGGCTGAGCAGTGGAGGGGATGGAGTTGCCACCAGCCTCGGCTCTCTTTCCCGCAGCCCCGGCATCACCTCCCCTCGCCCGGCCGTGCCACTCCTTAGGCCGCGCAGGGTGATCGCGGGAGCGGGTGGGCAGCAGCTCGCCCTGTACTGGAGAGGAGGGCGCGGCGGGGCCAAGACAAGGGGACTTTTAGTGTCCTGGGCGACCGGCGCGACCCCCAAGCGCCCGGAGACCGTGATCCGGAGGGAGCTACGCGCGAGCCCCCCGGGGCACGGCCGGTGGCCGGGAGGAGGTGCGGGGCTCGGCTGCTCGGTCCCAGGAGCCCGAATAGCCGATGGCGGGCAGCGACGTGGCCTGTGAGGGGCCAACGAGGAGGGGAGGCGCGAACCGGAGCCCCGGGGCTCCCGGGGGGCTGCGCAGCCAGGCAGCAGCCAGTTGCCCCGAACCGCTGTCCGCTACTGATGCTCCGGCAGAACGTGGAGCGCTACCCGCCTGGATGCGCCTCTACTTCTACGGGATGCACGGCATCACCCTGGACGTGCTGGTGTCCTCGGCCAGGCGCTTCGCCCGCAGCCTGGATCTGCGGATGTTGGGCTTCTCGTCGCCCTACCGCTGCCTCCTGCACTCGCTCACCCACTTCGCCCTGGAGCAGCTCTACCTGCAGCGGCCGCGCTGCCCCAGCGCCTTCCTCTTCAATTTCCTGCTCTACCCCTGGGCGCACGTGGGGTTGCAGACCCTGGCGGGCCAGGCACTGCTGCTCAGTCTAGGCGGTGGGCCGGGGGGCGCGGCGGCGCCGGGGGCGCTCGACCTGGCGCTGCAATACGTGCTGGCGCTCTACCACGGCCAAGTGTTCCTGAAGCGCTTCCTGCGTTTGCGGTACCCGCGGCAGCTCCAGCAGCAAACCAGGGACACACTACCGGCAGCCCCGGACGCCCGAGTCCTTTTGGAGGCTGGACGCGGGCGACAAGAACCCCGGAGCCCCAAGGGCGCAGAAGGAGCCCCCAGCCAAGGTCTGCCAGACCTCCTCCGCTTCCTTTTCTTCGGAATGCACGGCTTTCTGGATGAGATCTTCTTCACCTTCTTCTTCAATGTTCTGGGGCAGGGGGACGGATCCAGCAGTGGGCACACATCGCTCTGGTCCTTCTTCATGTATGGCAGTTGTAGCTTTGTGGTTGAAAAACTCTACTTCCACCTTCACTACAGCCGTGGCTGGGGCACCTGGAAGCGGGTGCCTATATATGTGATTTTTATCTATGCGTGGGAGTTGTCCTGGGGTCTGGGGCTTCGCATGTGTGGGGCCTGTTCCTGGGACTATTCTCATTATCCGCTCAATTTCATGGGCCTCATCACGTTGATGTATTTACCTGGCTGGCTATTCCTTAGTGTGTACCAGGACCTTCTATCCAACGTGTTGTGGAGGGTGCAGTATGTTCCAACAAACTAAGACTGGAAAATAAGAAGAAAAGAAAGGAAGGGAGGAAGGAATCTGACGATTGGATGCAATTTATTTTTACACATTTAAAACGAGATGGCTTTGTTTTCAGTCTTTTAATTTTTATACACTTCACTAAGCTCTTCCAACTTGTTTTACTTGACGTTTCAGTTTTCCAAACTGCTCGGAATCTGTATGTAAAGTTCTGTACTTTGAAGTATTACTCAAAACTAACTGAAATTGTTTAACTCATCAATAATTTAAACCTTTTCGAGGGCAAACAACTAAACCACGCCATCTTAAACATCAGAAACCGGTGATAGTCACTGAACCTCGACGAGTGATAACCACTTATTTTTCTGTTCATCCGTAAACGTTTTCAGATCAGAGACCAGTGATTTTTTTTTTACAAGTTCCTGATTTAATGAGCTGTTTACTTTCTTTTTAGCGCAATTTCATTTTGCTTTCTTGCCATGTTGACCAATGGCAGCTGAAAATCTGTCTTGTATGTCCTTCAGAAACTTCAACCACAGCTCTTAAAGTGCCTCTGTCTGGTCTACACGTGAGAGGAAGACCACAAGGGTGAAAACATCCCATGAACACATTTTAACAAGAGCCGTCTTTTGTGTCAACACCAACAGGTCACCCTGTGTTGGTGACATTTGGTCACAGTCTTGGAAGTGATTGCTTTCCGACGTTGGCTAGCCTTAAACACTGTGTATGTTAACATTACTCAGAACACGTGTTACCTAAACTTTTGTAACTGTGCAGTAACCTAAATGTTTGCCCTAGATGTCCCAGGGTCAAGTGAAATTATACCACCTTCAATGGTGTTCTAACTCTAAGGTCCCTTTTTCTACATGGAGCTCCAAATACAGAAGCAGTATCTTGGAATAAAATGAATCCGAATTCTCCCTCTAATTACATTAGGCCTAATTGTTTTCTCTATTTACTGATGCATTTTCACCTTCTCTCACAGTCCCCCCGCCCCTCACACTCACACACTTTTTTTCCCTTGCAGGCCCAGAATTTGGGGTCAGACCCGACATGGTAATGCACTTTATAAATGCATGATAGCTTTGGACAGCTTATGATTAATTAATGTCTAAAAGCTCCAAAGTTAAATGAGATGATGGAAGCCATTCTAAGAAATTATATCTAATTGATTAATAATGTACTCGAGGGTGTTTGTTGTTTTATTGTACTCAGAGGAGTGAGTGGAATAGAGTGTGGCTCAGCCAAGGATGACTAATAACCTCTCAGCTTTCAGTACGAAGCTAATTAGGAAAACTTAGAATGTGTATTAATGGATTTGAATTGTCCAATTGCCTGTGCTGTAAAAAGGGATAGTTTCTATTTCAAAAAAAAAAAAAAAAGAAAGAAAGAAAAAAGTTTGCTAGGAGAACAGCAAAGAATGTGTGTTTAGGTTTGATTCAGATGAATCAGATTTGATGCTCTAATCCATCCTGTGAGGTTGTAAGCTAAATTATAAATAATGACACAGAGTCAACCCCACCTGTGAAATGGAAGAGGGCAAGCTAATTGCTCTCATCATTCACAACTTAAAAGTAAGCTCCACACTTGCCAAGGGTTTTCTCTTCGGTTCTTTATGACACTCTGTAACAGGTCAAAGGTTTCTGAAAATACTGGAGGGGAAAATACGGAAGTAGAGAGGGGAGAGGTAGGAAGATGCAGGATGAGATATTTGTAAGGCAAATGTGACACATGCAGGAGAACCTGAGGGAAGGGTGGCCCCACTGCATACCCCACATTCCTGTGAATGTCCACTCAGCTCCTTGGCTGCTGAAATGCTTATCAAATTGTTCCCACTCTGTCGCCTCTCACCTCCAGCATAAGCTCCTATCAGAGCCACTGAGAAGCCTGCTAACCTCCTCCAGCTCAGAAATCTCCCACTTAGGAACACCTGCCTTTTTATTTTCCTTTTAATTCTCTGCTCATCAACAGAGTAGAGTAAGGTTTTCAGTCATAGGACTTATTCAGGAAATAGTTACCCAGCCTCCAGTAATTAGGAGACACTTCTCAAGACTGTGTATACACAGTAATGAACTAAAAAATCTCTGTCCTTGTAAACCTGGAAATGGACCGTATTGATTCTGTGAAATTGTACTCCTTTTTTCTGTTTGTGTTTTGGTTTTTGCTGTGGTGGTTTTTTTTTTGTTGTTGTTGTTGTTGTTGTTGTTTTTTCAAGACCACTGTTTCTGCACTAGGGGATGAGCAACAGGAGTTAGAACTTTCACCAGTCCAGTCCCTGGAACATAACAATCCATTCTTCCAATAGAGTAACAAGACTAACAGCCCCCCACCCGCTAGCTTCACAAAATCCTAGCTTTGAATACAGGAAGTGATTAGGCTGGGTTGTAACTCAGTATATTGTCTTAGGGCTTCTCATTTTGTGTTTGCTCAACTTCTTAAAGGAGGCATTTTGCTGTGATCTTTGACCCTTCAGGATAAGGGAAATCAACAAATTATTTAACTTTGTTATTATTAGTAGTTTAGAAGAGGAAATAGTAAGGCAGTATGGTAGATAATATTTAAATAGCATTTTCTCTCTGACAAAACTTCTCTAAAATATTTATATATATATATATAAATGTATGTATTAGACAGATATTGAATTAAGAACACATTCTTACATTCTATGCCTTAAGTGAACATACATACAGTATATATTTTAAATACATATTTATGTATGCATACATATTCACTTAAACTTGCAACAACCCTGCTTTTATAGATGAAGGCAATAAAACTGAAGCCCAAATGGATTCAGTTAACTACTTGAGTTATACAGCTTTTGAGTATTTATATTTGAGTTAGTGGATATCGGACTCCAATTTGTTCTCAACAGCAACTTGACTGTGCCTCTGCCTACTGGTCTCAGTGATCTGGGTCTTGTCTAGACTGTTCTTCCCTTGACTGAGAGATACACAACTAGCTGTATAAAAGGTAGACATTGTTTGCAAAAGACTCACATTGGTTTTCTTTTATTATGTGGTACATAGCAAATGAATTAATATCAGGATACATAACTGACAATCGAGCTCCTTTTACTCCATAGATAATGCCTTTACATTAAAGAAGTGCTCTGAAAGGAAGTTCCTCCTATAAACTAAGATAATATGCAACATAAAATGCAAAAATAATATGCTAGGATTCGAGGTAGGTCATTATCACAAGCTATGAATATACATATAATTAATCACTGCTAAACATTAAATATTATATTTAGAGCAGATATCATTGTAAGGACTAACCCCAAACGTGAGAAAATTTGTGGCCAGGTGTGTTAGCACACAACTGTAATCCCAATACTGAAGATGCTAAAGCCGTAGGATGCAAATTTGAGGTCACCATAAGGCACATAATGATATCTTGTCTTTACAAAAACACTATTTTTTACAAAGACATATATCCTGAATTTCTACTGAAGAAAAAAATATTCTTAGTAGAAAGACATAAAAGTAGCAAGGGTACTTAATATATACAATGCTGAGATTTCTTTTTAGAAGTACTTAAAATTTTAAGTAAATCCTATTGATTTCTGTGAATCTAAAGAGGAGTATATGCTGTTGAATTTTCATGTTAATAATGAATATAGAAGTACAGATATCAAAGAAAAACTCCAATAAAGTTGCTAACACATTGTGTTATTTCAAACATTTCCATGATTTGGTGTACTTGATTATTTTGTGTTCTGGTAATTAACAATTTTTATTGCAGCCAAACAACACACACAATTTAGAAAGATATGACTTGTTTTGTTGTTTGAGAAACATAAATAATTGGATAATCCTGTCTCCTAAGAAATAGCTACAAAGTATTTTTTATTGTTTTGAATTTGAAATAGTCACTGTCAGTTTGGAAGACCTGGTTCTGCAGGATGCTGAAGCAGTTTGGTGGACAGCTTGGCTCATCTGCCACTTTGAAGGTTCATAAGACATCTATATATCTGAATATAGGCTGTACTCTTGACACACTTAGTAGTAAGTCATTGTACTGAAATATCTGACCTTGCAATAATCCCAGTGTTTACATATATCAAAAAGCATTACAACCCTTTACCATTTCAATTAATTTTGAATACACTAACTCTAACAGTACTTACTAGAGCTAAGTCCTTTACCAAAGGAAAATTTAAAAAAAAAACAAAAAGAAAAACATCACCCATCACCCCCACCTCCCTCCATGAAACACATAAACACCTATTCTGTGGTCATGGGAGGCGGCAGTAAAGGATGGTTCTGTTCTACAGCCAAGACTCTTTTTTTTTCTGCTCATAGAGTTGGTAGCAGAGGAAGGAACAAAAGTAGCAATTGTCTCTGTGTCTAATGAACCCATTCATTAGACTTGGCCTCGTTCTGATTTTCACACTGCGGCAGCAAGCCATCACACAGGCAGCTGATTCCAGTCACAAGCAACCCAGACTGCAAAGCACTCTCGGATGTGTGAAGAGAAGCTTTGGTGAAAACACTTTATCATAATATAGGGGGAAATGTAAATACATATAATATTTCCCTTAATTTTAAAATGACCTTTTCAAGGTTACCAGACAGGGAGGGGAGTAAGAGGAACTCATCCTTCGTATACAGAAATGATTAATTTTCTTCCTATTTCTGCAGTTTCCTAAGACTGTAAAACTCATGAAACAATTTTCCCAGCTGGAAATTAGCATTTACTGACTATGATTAAGGATGTTTAAACTTTGCAAGAAGCTTTGTCACTTAGAGCACTGGATCTTTGACCCACAGGAGGACTTCTCCCCTCTAGAAAAACTATAACTCAGCTTAGATTTACTATTCCAGTTTTCATTGTATTGTGTCACAAACACTAAGTAGACGGGAACACTGTCACCAACAGAGTCACCCAGTCCATTCTCAACCAGTCAAGGAATTAATTTACTTCTAAAACATTAGGAACCAATAGCCTGCCATTCATTCCATGGAGTTCATTCTTTTGTTTGGTTTTACAAAATTCTTTCTCCTTCGTTGAAAATTTCCATGCTTAATTTTCTTGCTATTCTTATGACTTTTATTATTTCAAATGATAGAGGGCTTTCATAATTATTGCTATTTCAGATATTCAAAACATCTTGGCTACAAGGATGGTAGTAGGTTAAATTCAGGAACCCTGCATGAGTCACTGAAATCTCTACAGGGTTAAAACTAGGGAAAGATTTGACTAGTTTCCTAGCCTACAGGTTATCACCTGGTGAAATTCCCCATTAACTTACCCATCTATACAAGAAAAAGAAATGTAATAGACAGAGATATGGTTCAGTAAGTAAGAGTTCTTGTCACACAAGAGTGAGGACCTCAGTTTGGATCCCAGCATCCACATACAAAGCTGGGTATGGCCATGTGGACTTGTAAGCTTGCTGAGACTTGTTAGGCCACAAACCCAACTTCAAATTTAATGATAGACCTTGTATCACCAGAATAATGTAGACAATGACTGACCAAAACACTTGCTATCTTTAGCCTTCTCTCGTAAACCTATGTTCCCACCTATGCATGCAACCCCTAACCCCAAAATATAAAATGCACAGAGATCAGGAGGTCAGAGATATCAAAGAAACAAGTAATAAGCCAAGAACTGTTGAAAGTCAACATGCCCATTAAAAAAAAAATGGAACCAGAGGGATCAGAAACACCAAGAGAAGATGGTCCACAGAACCAACTGACTGGATTCATGGGGACTCACAGAGATCAGGGAGCCTATAGGACTGAGACCTAGGTCCCTGCATATATGTTATGGCTAAGTAGCTAGTATTTCTTGTGAGATTCCGAACAGTAGAAGTGCAGGTGGTCTCTGACTCTTTTGCCTACTTTTGCGACCCTTTCCTCCTCCTGGATTGTCTCATCTAGCCTTGATGTGATGGTCTGTGCCTGATTGATGTCTCTGGAAAGCCTGTTCTTTTCTGAGAAGAGACTGGGGTGTGGATCTAGGGAAGGGAAGGGGTAGACGTTGATACTTGGGGGAGGAAAAAGAGGGGAAATGTGATTAGGATGCAATATATGAGATAGAAATAATAATAATAAATTGTATTTATTGTATTAAGAAAAATCTTGCTATATATTTGATCACCATACAGTGCAGACATATTTTATCAGATGTCTTTAAATCCTGTAGTGAAGATGAACAATTCTATAGAACATAAAATCCTGATTCAGGCAGGGGTGGTGCACACCTTTAATCCCAGCACTTGGAAGGCAGAGGCAGGCAGACCTCTGTGAGTTCGAGGCCAGCCTGGTCCTCAAGAGCTAGTTCCAGGACAGGCTCCAAAGCTACAGAGAAACCCTATCTCGAAAAACAACAACAACAACAAAAAAGAATATAAAATCCTCAACTTCAAGTATTTTGAAAAAACACTATCAGTAGACAAAAGTGAGTTGATTGTGGAAAATAGTCACAGCCTATATTTTTGTTCCCTCATTAACTTTCAACAAAAGTTTAATAAAATTTGTTCTTGTACATTAATGAAGGAGAATTATTTTGTGATAATTTTTTATTAGAAACAATGAATGGACAAGAAGAAAAATTAATGAGTTTCTTAGAGTACAGCAGAACAAGCTTATAGACGGAGACTGTGCATTGGTTTCTTGGCCACCCAGATCTGAATAATCACACAGAAACTATATTAATTACAATGCTACTTGACCAATAGCTTAGACCTATCCTAGATAGCTCTTACATCTTAAATTAACCCATTTCTATTAATCTATGTATCGCTACGAGGGTATGGCCTATCAGTAAGGTTCCAGTGTCTCTCTACTTCTGCAGCTGAATGGCATCTCCCTCACTCTGCCTATCATCTCTCTATACTCTGTTCAGATTTCTTCCCTGACTTTGTTCTGCCCTGCCGCAGGCCAAAGTGGCTTCTTTATTAACCAATTGTAATAAAACATATTCATAGCACACAGAGGGGAAGCCCACATCACAAGCTTTCAGATTTCGAGTTCTTAAGATGTAGAGTTTTACAAACTCTGACCTTACACTTGCTCATGATGGTGGTTTCCAGAGCCAACAAATGGAATAGGAACATAGAATAGGAAGAGCAGTAACAGAAGACAATAGAGAAGGTAGTGTCCAAGAGCCTTGGAAACAAGAAAATGTTATTTTTAAGGTCAAAAATATTCATAAAGATTAGTGATAGTCTAAACTTGCATTCTAAAAAATGCTAAATTCACAAAACACTGAATACCCTGTTTTGTTGGACAACAAATAAACATTTTATTGTGTTACTATTGATTAGTAATTTTTTAAAATTTTGTATAATAATCAAGTTATTGAGCCGAACTTTAATAGTTTTAATAGTAGAGCAGGTAAAGTTTCTTCACAGTGTTCAGGTAAAGAAACTACAACTAATTATAAACCAAAGATCACAGAACTGTAAATCTTGATGAGACAAGAGATCATCTGGTTTGGCTAACAATACCATAGTTTCACCCAGATCTTCAGGACACATGACCACGTGCCATCTTCTTTACCACAATCAATAATAGTTATCATCTAAACTACTCAGACCTCTGTAGTCAAACCATCTGTCCCACCCCATGACTTTGCTAGAAAATTCCTAAATGACCAGTCATGGTGTTATACTTCAAATCCCAACACTCTACCATTGCAGGTAGGGAGATGTTGGGTGTTTCAATACTGGACAGCAATAATCAATAATTCCTCCAGATGACAAAAAGTAATATCAATTTCATTATTTATGGATATACGCAAGAATCACTTTGTGCCTGGGAGAGGGGTCTACGTTAATTTCGTGTATTCTTCCTTTTTCTGCGTGGGTGTTTCCTTAGGCACAAGGCTCAAGTACAGTTTACATCATGAGGGTTTTTGTTGTTGTTGTGTGGTTGTTTATTTGTTTGTTTGGTTGGTTGGTTTTTTGAGACAGGGTCTCTCTGTGTAACAACCCTTGCTGTCCAGGAGCTAGCTCTTGTAGACCAGGCTGGCCCTGAACTCAAAGAGATCCACTTGTTTCTGCCTCCCAAGTACTGGATTTAAAGGCATGTGCCACCATGGAGTATTTTTAAATGATAATCTAACTGTCTTTTAAATTATTTCTTCCAAAGTGTGAATTTAAAAGAAATATAATGTGAACCTGAACTGTTGTGGTTGGCTAGTGTGTTTCGGTATATGTTTCTTCCACCAATGCCCATTTAATCACTTTTTCTTTCTTGAGGTCTCTAGATTATTGTTGTTTTTTAAAATGACATACTGTATTTTGGTAAGTTTTAAAAGTTTTGAAAATGAAATGAAAATAAAATGTTTTAATTTGTTAAATATTTATTGCTAGGAACTGCGTGTGGTACATGCTTGTTTTCATTTGTGAATTTTATTAGTGTCTTGCTATTTGAACTCAAATACATAGATAGATTGTATTAGGCGGCCCTATACAGAAAACCAAAACAATGGAAAATAGAGAGGGGAGGCATGTGCATGTAGATTTTTAGTGTGTGTGAATGAATGCATAGGCAGCATTTGTGTATGTGTGTATGGAAACAGAAAGGGAGACAAAGGCACATGGAGGGAGGGGGAAGGAGGGAGGGAACAAGCTATGGAGGGAGGATGTTTATTATAAAAACTCAAATCCCAGGATCATGGAGTCAGTGAGCTGGAGAGCAATGAGCTGGTGATATAATTTCATCCTCAGAG